CCAACTGGGCTTTTCTGTCTACCTCATTTGGCAGCCCCAGTGTTCGTTTACTTAACACATGAATGAATTCCAGTGAGGTGGCTCGTTGTCAGTGAACAATCATACTACGGAATGCCTCAGACTGAGACTAAAGTCACCAGAAGAGCGACAACCCTAAGGCTGCCACCCAACCACACCCTGACTGTGGTGGGAATGAGATCCCAGACGTCTGGTGGCACAAGCTTGGAAACAGCCAACAAAAGAGCAGCAGCTGAGGGCCTGAAGGAGATCTGAGGCACGGCTCTGAGCCCTCCCATATTTATTTCTGCTCACTTGATATGCACGATTGTCAACCAGGTACAACATGTTTATTTAAGAGATAATGTTGCCGTGGAGGAGTGCGCAGGGCCATAAACAGCTTTTGCAGGCAATTAAATGCAGAAGCGGAATTGAGCTGAGCTGCTGGTCAGCAGAGGCAGCCATTCATCCTGAGTTTGTTCCAGTGCCACAAATGTTATTCCTGTTTCACAACAGGACAGGAATCTATGATTGAGCCACAAATCTCTTCAGGCTCGAGACGGACCAGAGGCGATTAAAGCCATTCTCAAGCCTGCATGGTGGTCACGGTAGGACACTATGGAATTCCAGAAGACTGTATACACACACACCCCGGAGTTGAATCGTTCCCTCCCCATCCCACCCCTGCCTCTCTCTCTCTCATAGGTTTTGCACTTAGTAGGTCCTGAGTCAGTCTGCGGCTTGCTTGATTTTACAGTCAGGCATGCAGGACAATGCCACACAAGAATCAGTGGATTTATTTTTAAATGCAAAAAATGAATGCCCTATTTATGTTTAAGAAGTCTACCTCTAAAACAGAATGACAATCTCTGCTACAATACATGTTTTCTTAGAAGCCAAGAGGTCTTTGGTTGTAAAACATCCACACTGCACTGTAACATACAATGTCATTGAAAGTAGCAAGCAAAGGGGACAGAGGATATTAGGGAGACTCCATCCACCCTCGAGATAGATAGGAAGAAAGTTAAGTCTTAACAGCAGGGTCCGATCAACATGAGGAACAAGGCCTCCATACCAGCTCTTGGACAGAGCCTGAGTCATCAAGAGGCGAAGACAACAGAGAGAAGCACAGGCCTTCCTATACTGCTGAAGGCAGCTCAGTAAAGACAGCAGAATACTGGGAAGCTACCCCTAAAAGAAGTAAGGCAATGCTCAAAGAGCAAGCCCAGCTCATCTTCCAGAAATTGCAAAGGTAAGGCTGGACCTGGAGGTGCACAGCTGTGATATGAGCACTTGACAGACTTAGCCAAGCAGATCTCAACCGTGAGACCCATCTGGGCTTACAGAGTAAATTCCAGTCTTGCCTAAATGAAGCCCTGTCTTAAAAAAAAAATCAAGTTGACAGTCACCCTCCCATCTATCCCAGGTTCCTGTCATAACACCTCTGACAGCCATGTGTGTGTGCTTTGCTGCTTTCTTTCATGTGTATGTGCAGATACATATGGATGTGAACCCATATGTACACATATGTATACATGTACAGGCCAGGCATCAACATTGGGCATCTTCTATCACTCTACCTTGTATTTTAAGCAGGGTCTCTCACTGAACCTAGCACTCACTCAATTTGGCTAGATTCCAGATTAGCAAGTCCCAGGAATCCACCTGTTCATACCCCACAATCCTGCAAAAGGATTAGCAGGGAATTCCACATTTCTGGGTTCTGTGGATGGGTAACATGGATGCTGGTGTCCAAACCTCAGGTCCTTATGATTGAGCAGCAAGCACAGTACCCAGGGAGACAACTCTTTAGCTATGGAGACAACTCTGAGGCCAAGTATAGTGGTTCACACCTTTGACTTTAGAACTCCAGAGGCAGAAGCAAGTGGATCTTTGGGAGTTCAAGGCCAGCCTGGTCTACATAGCAAGTTCCAAGATAACCTAGAACTACACAGTGAGATCCTGCCTCAAAAAAAATCAAACAAAACAAAAACAAACAATAAAACCCCTTCTGGTTACAGCATGAGGCACCTCATTTCCATCACTTTAACACTAGCCAAATGCTTAATATGTGTTTACTATTTAATGCTTTTTTATGAAATATCTTAAACACATTTATGCTACTAATATATTTGTCTATGCTTTACAATATTTTTTAAAATGATTATTTATTTACTTTTACACTTTATGTGCATTGGTGTTTTGCCTTGCATGTATGTCTATGTGACAGTGTCAGATCTTGAAGTTAAAGACAGTTGTGAGTGATCATGAGGGTACTGGGATTTGAACCTCCATTCCTCTAGAAGAGCAGTCAGTGCCCTTAACCACTGAGCAATCTCTCCAGCACTGCCCAAGGGAATCAAATTCTTCCTCAAAACTATAAAAAGTCTTTCCATTCAGACTTTGATTCATACATCATAGTATTTCGTTTTTTAACGATTAATTCTTTCCTTGTGACGCATGCCCCAAGGAGCTAGCTCAATACACAGGTAAGCCTGACAAAGAATTCAGTAGATTTAAAAACAGTATGGCAAATGGAAATAAAGGGAACTGAAATAAGTCAGCTATTATCTGCAGTGTTTCTGTTTACACGGAAACGCTCTAGTAAGCCAACCATGTCTCTTCAGTACCACAGTGTCACACATCCGTATGACAAAATGAGAGCATCATCATAGAAAGCTGAGATTTAGAGGACAAAGAATCTGCTCAAGGTGACATGGCTAAAGTTGTAACTGGATATGGATGGGCCTTCCAGGGTTACAACTCCTGTTCCTTAGGTGCACTCAGTTTCCCTCAGTCAGCAGGCCGACTCGGCATGGAGTCCGGCATCCCTGCAGCTCTCTGCAGGAGAACAGGATGGTGTGAGAACCTCAGGGACCTTTCAGAGTCCCTTTATTCAGTCTCCTCTGTTACACATACATCTAGAATGTCCCTCCTTCTGCCTTATTTGCCATCACATTCACAGAAAATTGTTGTGCAGATTCCTAGTAACTTCAAACTTCTGACAGAAAGCTTATGTTAAGACAGTGACCGTGGCTGGGCTGTGGTGGCGCCTTTAATCCCAGCACTTGGGAGGCAGAGGCAGGTGGATTTCTGAGTTCGAGGCCAGCCTGGTCTACAGAGTGAGTTCCAGGACAGCCAGGGCTACACAGAGAAACCCTGTCTCGAAAAACCAAAAAAAAAAAAAAAAAAAGACTGAAGACAGTGACTGTGGACGGAGTACTTCAAGAACGCACAGAAGCTGTACCCTCGGACACCTGAAACAACACCTCTCTTCAAGATACTTGTGCTTGTTTCTAACCTGCATGGGAGAAGAAAAGCAGAAGAGGGTTCCAAGAAGATTTCAACAGAAAACGGAGGGCTTACGCAAGGACTCTAACCCCTAAGCAACGAAGGGCCTGGGCATTTATAGGGGATCCACCTCACAGCTGAGGTTCACCTGCAAAGACAGGCCGATCTTGGCGAGTCTGAGGCTAGTCTGGGATGACTTGAGTATTTGTGTTTTCAAAAAGAAAAACAAAGAGAACGAGATGAACCAGATTTGATTAGAGAAATATGTCAGATCACAAAGTTTTAGAAGTAGGCTTAAGAAAGTTAAAGACAAATAAACAAACAAACAGAAAGTTAAAGACTCTTGGAACAAAGGAAGCAGAAAGTTACAATATTGATTGACAGAGGCTTGTGGGTAGGAAAGTGGAGAGACTTAAGTCCTAGTTTCTACTTCCAATAATGTTAAGCGAGTTCTGGAAGTTTAATGTACAATCTGGGAGTTATAATCAGTAGTACTGCATATCTGAAAAAACGCAGATTAAATCTTGGGTGCATACAAGCTCATGTGTGCACACATGCATCCACATGCAAATGACACCTTCATTAGCCTGTGATAAGCAACACACAATGTATACACACATCAAGACGTCACACTTACAGTATGAATGTATACAATTTGTCGATTATGCCTCAATAAAGCTAAGAAAAGGGCTGGTGAGATGGCTCAGCAGTTAAGAGCACTTGAGTTCAAATCCCACAACCATCCATACTGAGATCTGATGCCCTCTTATGGGGTGTCTGAAGACAGCGTACTTACATATAATAAATAAAATTTATTTATTTATTAAATTAAAAAACAAAAAACAAAAATCTTTGGGCAGGAGTGAGCAGGACTGGAGTGAAAGGGAGAGGGGAAGAAGAGGAAGAGGGAGGGGAGGGGGGAGGGGGAAGGGGAGAGAGAAAAGCTAAGAAAATAAGAAGGAAACAAAGAAGACATCAAAGACTTGCACTAGCTCCTGGATATGTGTTCTACTAAACTGAAATCAGGTCCTTGCTAAGAAAGCCTAGCCAGATTCACAGAGCCGAAATGAGCATAGTTCTCACAGAGTCTCAGCAGCCTCTGCGGCCTGGTGGCGTGGGTTTAACTTCTCTTAAACACACTCCTCAGACATAAGTACATACAGTGGTCTAGACTCGGAGTGCTCTGGTGCTATTATAAATACATGTATTTGAAAGACTGATTGCCATTTCTAAAACACACGTACCTGTGTTACTGGGCCACTGTAACACCACCTCATTCCCTTTCTTACCTTTTCTGCCATGCACACACATCATGATAATTTTCTCTCTCAGTGTAAAAATCTGTTAGGAGACCACTGTCACCTAGGAAGCTGCACCTAACATATTCTAAGTTGCCCCAAGGTAGAGCAGGCTGGAGGAGGTGGGGCCTCGGATATATCTAACTCTGAACAGCTGGATATTTTGCAAAACAACAATGTGAGAAAAACTAAAACTGAAAATTAACCCAAAAAACATGCACAATCCCTTCCAAGTATCTGCGGCCAGTCTTTTGGGTTAAATGACATTAACGGATAGAAAGAAAGACCAATGTGCATCACATCATACTGTGCTTACATGTGTGCTGACTGAGCATGTGCGTGGTACATGTTGTGCATGTGTATGCATTAACATGCATGTCATATTTCACATATCCCATTAACTCTGGGTCATACCTGCCACTGGTTTCCAGTCTGAGCAGGTACATAAGGTGCTGGGAGACTCCGCAGGCTGTTCTTCACAGGGGATCCCCCAAGGGGATTTCCCACCTCCCCTGAAGAGGACTCAGCAGACAAGGCCATGGAGTACTGGGGGTAGTTGTACAGATTGTTGTAGTAAGGAAACAGAGAAGGCTGGTAAAAGCTGCTGTAGTAGGCGGGGTCTGATACCAGGTCAGGTGTGTTCTCCATATGCCCTCTGCTGGTGACAGCAGGAATATCCTGGATGACCATGCGTCCCTCTAAAAGAGAAGAGAGGAAAAAAATAAACAGATGTTAAGGGGCAGCGGTTGGGACGTAAATAAATAAAGGAATGAATGATGTCGTAAGATTTAATGTAGGCGGTCCACAAATCTTGCCCTCCAAAGCTCAGCTGTGCGCCTCATGTTCATCCTCAAGATGAACAAAGAACCTGGAAATGCAAGGGAGACATCATTCCCTGCTTCTTCAGTCATAAGGGGAGGGTTCCAAGGCTGGCTTTGCGCCGACGGCAAAGCTGAAATACCCTTAGCTAGGTTATTTTTCCTGGGAACACCAAGTCACTTTAGAGGTAGGTTAAATGACATCAAGCCGGACAGTATGACCTCAACACATACACCTGAGTCAAATGTCAAGGAACTGGAGATCAAACGCAGTTAACCCGGCTATGAATTCTTACCACGTGATAAAGTTGAAGTCATCCCTAGGAACTCAGTAAGGGGCTGAGTTTGAGGGCACACAGTTTCTTTTAATTCCTTCTATGGTAGATAGGATACTGTATTCTATAGTACAGACAGAGTATATTCTATAGTACAGAGTATGGACAGGAGTAGACCAACGGAGCCGAGCTATGGGAGCGTCACCTGATGCAAATTCTTGGGGGAAAAGTGAAGGAGAGATGAGAAAGAAAGACCGACCAGGGAACAATACAAGACCGGACAGAGACCACATTAGACTACATATGTAAGGGTAGCCGGGGACAGGGACATGTGGGGCATGGAAACGAAGTGGAGGGTGATGGAATGTGAGAACTAAGGATAATGGGGGATGAAGAGCAGGAGTCTGGGTGTGGTAGAGAGACACAGGGGCATGTTCTGTTCACTCCAGACACTGGGCATGAGGTACAGGGATAAGAGAAACGATCTATCTTCAAACTTCCTGGCAGCCACTGAGGCTGGAAGCTGAGATCCGGAAATCTCCACCCAGCAATAGCTACATCTGGGGAATAGGGTGGAGCCAATGCATGAACTGAAGAGAGCAGATGCAGCATCCCAGAAGCATTAGCTGGCACAGATTACAGAGGGTTCAGCTGCAGAAGCAAGCCACGGAAATCCAAAACCCACATAAACCCAGAGAGGGTCATGATAAAGACAGTCTTTGGGATTTTCTGTTGTGGTGTGAAGGAAGCAACAGCACCTGGCCTGCTAAACAGCTTGGAACAAGAAAGCAAGCAAGAAGGCAAATCTCTGAGTTCAAGGCCAGGCCCATCTGCAAAGTGAGTTCCAGACAGCCAGGGTTACACAGAGAAACTTTATCTCAGGAAAAAAAAGAAGAAAGAAGGAAGGAAAGAAGGAGAAAACGAAAGCAATGAGAGACAGATGAAGACAGCGAATGACTAGATAAGATCCTGCAAGGGGCCCAGACCTCCAGGCTGCCCAGGTACTCCATGTGCCTAGCATAATACCAGACCCAGAGCAGTGAGCGTTTACTAAAGAGAGCAGTAAACAAGGGCCTTTTAAGTAGTACAGTATCAGGAATGTATATGAAGTAAAACCTGAAGCTCCAAGAACCACAAGCTCTTAATACTTCATAGCTGAGACACAGGGAAGGGCTCAGTATTCCAAGGCATGAAGAAGAGGCCCCAGGAGAAACCTCCAGCATAATGTCCCCAAAGCACTCAGTGGGAGGCAGAGGATCCTGGATAAAAGTGTAAAAGGAGAAAGAGAAAGTGTGCAAGGTAGGGTGTGTGCACTCAGAGAGCATGCTCTGGAAGATTTGGGCCAAGACTACAACTGAAACCTTCGAACAACCTTAAAGCCTCCTTTCCACGTGGCAACTTAACATTCTTTGTAACCAAAGCTCCAGGAGTTCTGACACCTTCACACAGATACACAAGCAAGCAAAATGCCAACGTACATAAAAATAATAAAAATAAGTAAGAAAATAAGTAGGAATTTATTGGGTTGGCACAGACAGTGGATCTCTGTGAGTTTGAGGCCAGCCAGAGCTACATCCTGTCTCAAAAAAACAATCCAATTCAAAAGAACTAAAAAACAAATCAAATTTTCTGTATGTGTATAAATACATATGTATATACATTTAGCTTTCAGAAAGTTGTTTTCCATATACAAACAAAATATTGGCTTCATTCTAAATCAAGAGAGAATAATAGCAAGAACGGAGAGCTGGCTCTGTAAACCTTACTATATACCAACATTCACCATTCCCTTGGTCTGGCTATGAATTCCTCCAGTCAGTCTTCAAGCCTCATGTGTATAATGTGTGGTGGTTTGAATGAAAATGGTCCCTATAGGATACTTTTCAAAAGTTATGGGCTTGCTGGAGTAGGTGTGGCCTTGTTGGAGGAAGTATGTCACTGGAGGTGGGCTTTGTGGTTTCAGATGCCCAAGCCAGGCCCAGTGTCACTCTCTCTTCCTGCTGCCTTCAGATCTATATGTAGAACTCTCAGATACCTCTCCAGCACCATGTCTACCTGGCACTGCCATGCTTTCTGCCATGGTAATAATGAACCTCTGAACTGTAAGCGAGTCTTACTTGAATGCTTGCCTTTGTAAGAGTTGCTGTGGTCATGGTGTCTCTCTTCAGAGCAATAAAAACCTAAGACATCATGCCAGGGTCCTTTAAGCTCCACAGTCAATATTATTACTACAAAGACCAGAGACACAGACTGTAAAAGTACTTACTACCTTAATTATGTTGTTGAACAATCTGAAAACTAAATGTCTCTCTGTCTTTCTGGAATGAAAACTGGCCAAGATTGCTTAACAGGATTAGTAAGACTCCATGGCACCAAATCCAAGAAAAGGTGGTACTTGTCTTAACCAGTGACCCCTTACAGGTTCATCTACCCAGTGGTCCTCTGTCATGATGCACACGGCAACAGAAAGTTAAGATCCTTCTCCACACTGCTGCTGGAGAAGCTCATGCTTGTTTTGTGAGTGAGGGTCTCATTATGTAATCAAGTCTGGCTTCAAATCAGTGATCCTCAAGCCTCAGTGTCTTAAGCCCTGTGATTACAGCAACATACCACCACACCCAGCAAATCTGATGTTTCAAGTGTTATGGCTATTGGCATACAGTCCTAATCAGGAGGACCAGATCCAGCTGGAAAGGCAGTGGCAGCCAGAGAAGTGGGCTCTGCCTCATACACTCTGAGCTCCCTGTCTCCATATATTCATCTGCAGCTATGGGGCTCGTAGACCACCACCTGCCACTCAAATGCTCACATGTGGCTCGGTACATGCACCTTCTGGACATCTAATTTTCTGACAAGCCTTCATAGTCCTGTTACCTTTTTTTGTACTAACATATTCAGTGTGAAATATGATTTCACTCCTTCATGAGAGATCAATACCCACACATGATAAACAGCCTTATTGATCTTGGAGTGTTATATGCTGGTCTCTGGGCCTGCAGCATATTAATAGTAGTTAACCAGTAATTCATTTTAAGGTGGGTGAAGGTTTTCCCTTCTCTTCTCTAGTGTTAGGATTCTCAGCACTGTTACACTTTAGATCTTCTATAATTAAACTTGAAATTATACCCACTTCTGCATGTGCAGAAAGAACCACAAATGAAACCAAAATTTACCTGCAAACTTCAACACTTGATTCACAATGAGAAGTGTCTTTCTTTTTGTATTGGAAATTCCATACTTTGGCAAATGTGTGCTTTCCTTAGCTTCAAAATTCTGTGTTTCCAGGCAGGCAAAAGCTTTACCAGGAAATAGGAGATTACCTTTCACCACTAATGCGAATTTAGAACTAGGAGATCCATGTTTGCGTAACACTGTCCCTTGAAGATAACTTTCTGTGGATCTGGGGGGTGAAACTGAGATGTTCCTCACTGGAGCAAGAAGACAAACTAGCTACCTGTTTTTGGTTTTGTCTTTTTAAATAGTATTCTGTAGGATATTCCCATGTCTAGATTAATCAGCTTCTGGAATGTCCCACACTGAAGAACAACTGAGCAATCTAAGCCATGAAGGGTGATGAACAGAGAGGCTGTTTAAAACTGTCTTCATAAAGACTGAAATATTCCATCCTGTAGGGAAGCTCCTTAAGCAGGAAAGTAAACAATTCAAGTGCTTTAGGAAGTCCCTGAAACTTAGCAGACTCACTAGACTCCCTGCCAGACAGAGTAAGCAAGAAATGCTAAAACTGAGCTGGAAAGACTGTCAGACAAGCTCAACTGCTTGGAAAAGGCTTAGACTGAATGAGGCACCTGCAAAGGACACTCTCCAACCTGTTGAACTGCCTGCAGGCTGTGCAATATGTTCTAGCTTCCTAGCTTTTGTGAGCCATAACCCATGCCTGGGTGGGCCTTGGTGATGCAGCTGTTTTTAAGTCATTTTTTCTCCTCTAAGTAACACCTCACCCATATGTCTATAACCCTAATAAAACTCACCAAATTGGTCTTTGGTGGTTTCTGTACTTTGGTCTGTACTCACTACCTGGAGTGAGTACATGTGTGTGTTGTGTCTCTCCTGAAAAGTTTTGTCACACAACATCACTAGTGCAAGAACAGGAGCATGACAGAACTTAAAATGAGTTGCGGAGATCCTTGTGAGTGTATGGTCCTTGCTATGAGAAGTTAGGTACAGAGCTAAGGCTGAGAAGCATAAGGTTACCATCTTTGGAGGAAATTCCATTAGAGGTATCCTTTCCTTCATGACGTGCGTTTGTGCTAGGACAGTGGTTACATGGTTCTCATTAGGAATAGTGGGACATGCAACTAAGGAAGAACCATCAGAAAGAGGAGTGTCTGTGGAAAGAATCCCAGGATGGCAGTCTTCGTCTATGTGGTATGGGGTGGCATGCCTCCTTGATGAGCAGAGTCCACCATGTGAATATGAAGATGCTTTGTAAAGAGTTAAAAGGTTTAGAAGAAATTCTGCAGTCTTTGAATTGTGTCCTCTTAGTGCCCAAGGGTTGAGATCGTCAGTAAGCAGCAGCAGAGGTTGCAGGGTCTATGTTGTGTATAGTTAGAAATTCACATGAGGCCAAGGTGGCAGCCAAGTAGG